GTCGATTTTTTCGTTCTGTTTAACACGAACATTATTGTTGTTGGGTATCGCCACATCAATTAATATTGTTTGTCTCTTTAGTTTATTAACTAGTATGAGATCTGGTCTATTATGTGCCACTGTTTGGTCTGTGAGCACCGTGCGGTCCCAGTATAGCTTGTAGTTGTCATTCTCAAGTATACTCTCAGGAATGTGTTGATAATATGGAAGATGGTTTGTTTGAAGAAGTCCCAATCTGATAGATATCTCTTGATGAAGGATCTTTCCTACTGAGTCGTGTCATTCATTATATTCAGTTGCAGCAAATGCCTGACAGCCCCTGGTAAGATGTTGGGTGGTTAGGTCTCAACGAGTCCCCCTGGAAAAGGCCCCGGTTGATTGCAATATTTTCAGTTCTATATTGTTTTCACCAGGTATTTGGAGGTGAATTTTTGTCTTCCAGTCTGACATTATATATTTTAAAAAGGTCACTATGTTATCATCGGCTTTATATATTTTTAATATATCTATAAGCCATTCATGCGGCGCTGAATCAAACGCTTTCTAGTAGTCGATGAAAGCAGTAAAGAGATTTCGTTTTTTGTTATACGCTTGGTTAGAAATGACAGTCGATGATAAGTTGTTCTTTACAGCCCATGGAACCCTTAGCGCATCCTTTCTGTTGAGGCTCTATGATATTTTTTAGAGCACAGTGTTGGTTGATACGACGGGCTACACAGAATGTGACCAATTTATACAGAGTTGGAAAACAAGTAATTGGACGGTACTTGGTTGGACCTTGGGTATTATTTTGATCTTTGGGAATTAAATAAGTTGTACCCTGGGTTAGGAAAGATGGTATTTCCTGCGGATTAGAAATAGTGTGATTAATTATTGCTGATAAGCACTCATGAATATTCCAGAACTTCCTAAGTCAGAAGTTCTGAACGCCATCTAGTCCAGAAGATTTCCAGTTATGAAGCTCTTTAATAATATTCGAAACTTCTTCAGTAGTGAAGGGTTCGTAGCGAGCAGTAACGTAGTCTTGGCAGTTTGCGTCGTATCTTCGATCCATTCAGCATTGGTGTTAAGAGCAGTTGGCGTGGAAAGTTGATTTCCCCAAAACTCATGGATTTCTTCTCGGCTTGGGTAAGATTTATTGGCACTTTCTGCAGTAGAATTGAGTTTCCGATAGAACGCCTTCTCGGCATTTTCAAAAAGCATATATTGTCGGATTTTCGTTTGTTACTAATTTTGTATCTCCTTAATCGGCCTGAGTAAACGGAAAGTTTTTGTTTTAATGTATCCAGGCACTGTTGTGCTGCATTGTTTTCTGGATTATATTGTGAGTGTCTTGCGGTGGTTAGCATTATTTGTTCAGCTCTTCTGATTACTTTTCTACGTTCCTCGAAAATATTCCGTGATTTCACCAATGTCCCTACGTAATGATTCAATTTTCGTTAGCAGCCGTTTTTCCCAAGGTGCAAATCTGTTATCCGTCCTTCCGATATTAGTACCCCGTCGTGTTCTGGTCTTAATGCCCATAACATTAGCAATTGCTGTTGCTGCACAGTAAATCACCGTGTGAATATATTCCAATGTATGGGCTTCTACGACATAATTGGGCAAGACTTCAGTGTTTACAATTTGTAACAGCACACCTTATTATTATTATTATTATTACATAGTAATAAGGGCTGGGGCCATGAAGACCCATAAGCCCATTTACAAGAAAAATGAAATAGTACATTACAAGATAATTAGTTACACAAATAAACTATGAACTAGTAAATTGTATACAGTATTGTTCAGTTTACAAATATTGAACAGTCTAGTTGGTTTTAAAAAAATATATAGATGGGAAATTTATAATTTCCGTTGGGAGACTGTTCCATATACTAAAAATACGATTACACAGAAAATGTTGGCGCCTTATCCATGAAAAGAATTCCTTCTTTAGTTTCAAACTGTGTCCACGTAGTCTGCTGTGATGATCTAAAATAAACAAGTGTTGCAGATTTTCATATCTAAACTTTAAAATTCGGAAGGTGACAATTAAGTCACCACGGAGTCGTAGAGCTTCAAAAATTGGTAACCCTGCTAAAGAAAGTCTTTGTGGGTAATCTGGCCTTCTTCGTTTGAAAGATAGTCTGGTGGCTTTCTTTTGAACAGTTTCGAGAAGAGTTCTATCGCGCACTAATTCTAGGCACCAAACTGTTCCATAGTACTCCAGTAGGGGTCGGACATAAGTTTTATACAAACGAATAGAACCCAAAAAGGATATTGTTGTAAAAGTCTTATTAAGTAGGTATAATTTACTATTCGCTTTTTTAGTGATGTTTGAAATGTGCTCCGACCAACTCAAATTTTCGGTAATTGTAACACCAAGGTCACAATATGATCCCACAGTATCCAGTAAATGTCCGTCTATCGAATAAGACAAACGCGGGTTATTTTTTCCGAAATGTAAAACTACACACTTATCCCTATTTAGAAGTAATATCCAATCCGAACACCACTTGAAGACCGAATCGATATCACTTTGTAAGTCTTGTCCATTTAAAAGGAGTCAGTAAATATTTTTGTATCGTCTGCGTAGAAAGCTTTCCTAGATATGATATGAGAATCAAGATCACTAGCATACAACGCAAATAGTAGTGGACCCAAAACAGATGCTTGTGCCACACCACTTAAAACTGGTTTTTTAGATGACAGCGATTTGCCAACTCTAACACAAAACTCCCGATTTGTTAAAAAATAATTAATCCACTCAAGAAGGCCAATGCCAAAGTGTTTTAGTTTATACATCGATTTTCTTCTTGGTATCCGATCAAATGCTTTTGCAAAATTTAGATATATAACATCTATAGGTCGTCTTTTATCCAATGCTGCTGTCCATTCATTAACACACCACAGTAAATTAGTCATGGTTGATCGACTTTTCACAAATCCATGTTGTTGTAGAGAAATAATTTTTTATTGAAGCAAACATTCTGAAAGAGACTCTGTGTTAATTGACTCCATAACTTCCATAACAAATAACAGGTGTAAGGCTTATTGGTCTATAATTATTAAGATCTAACTTATTTCCTTTTTTAAATATAGGTATCCCCAAGGCACTCTTCCAAATTCGAGGCAAAGAGTGTGCATTAAAAGATGAACGCATTATTAGTGATAGTGGAATAGAGAGGACATCTGAACATTTTTTCAAAAATAATGTAGAAATTTTATCGGGCCCTGGAGATGAGTTGTTTTTTAATTTGTCAATATGGCGCTTAATGATTTCAGGTGAAAAATCGATGTAATCAAATTTAGGAATAACCCTTGAATGACTGATTATAGGAAACTGATTTTGAGACGGTTCAATAGCAAAAACTTTAGAAAATGTATATGCAAGAATATTAGCGACCTCATACGTATTCTGACAAATCGTTTCATCGTTCTTTTTTAACAATGGAATGGATACTTTAGAAGACATAGCAGACCTAACATATTTATACAGCTTTTTAGACTCGTTGCAACTTACAATAGATTCTTCATGTGCCATTCTGGCTTCATTGATATACTTTTGTAGTATTACTGTGTAGTTTTTGTGAGTTTGTAAATCACGTGTATCACCTGTATGTTTATATTTTCGCCATAATTTTCTTTTGTGTCTTATAAGTGATATCAATTCACCGTTAATCCACGGCTTAAGTTTGTTCCAATAGTAAGTTTTTCTTGTGGTATTGCGTCTTTTGTAATTGTTAATGATGCTTATAAAATTATTCCAAACTTCTTCCAGATGTTCTAGACTTCCCAGTAGTAACGGCCAATTAACATCACGCAATTGGAGAGATAGGTTTTCAAAATTTGTTTTTTCATGTATAACTGTATTTTCACCAAGATGATTATATTCAGTCATAAACTGTATGTTAGAACTGTAGGTTAGAACTTTGAAGAAAGTTTATAAAATGTTTCTCGCAGTTGTTAGGTCATCGCTTACAACTGGCAAAGGCCAAGAGATATCAAGAAAATTGAAGTCACCAAATAAGACAAGGTATTCAAGGTTTGGAAGGAGTTCCATTTTTTCGATCGAGATTTGGTCATCTTCTAGAACCTGGACGATATAGACACGGCAAATGAATAACAAGTGAATTAAGAGAAATTTTTAAACATAAAGATTCAATGTTAGAAACAACAATATCCAGATGAGCAACAGAAAAAGTTTCAGAAATGTCTAAAGACAGGTATATGCACACTCCTCCCCCTTTTCGACTGCTGCGATCAAATCTGTAAAGAGAGTATCCATCTATAGTATATAAATTGTCAGAATCATTTTGTGTTAGCCAAGTCTCGGTTATTAGTATTATTTTAGGTTTTAAATCCTGAATGTAACATAAAAGTTCATTAAATTTAGAATGTAGTGTAGCCAAATTGGTATAAAAGTGGAGCCAGTCGTTAAAGCCAGTTTTTTAATATTACTGTCGAAAATTAGTAATTTTTGGTATACCATGTATGTATTTTATTGTTAAATTTTGTTCGCCGTTTTCTTTTCTAATCTCTAACTCAGATCGCAAAACTTTTAAAAAGTTGCATTGGTGTCTTATCATCAACAATGGATACATTTTTTGTTTTTGATTTTTCTAAGAGTTTCTTTTAATTTCGCAGAATTTGTTTAGCTTCATACTCATTATTCATGACCATTTTGATAATTCTAGGATATTTATTACCAACTTTGCCTTGTGTGATTACTTGGCATGGTGGGAGTGAATAAATGTAAATAAAATGTTAATATCTCTGACCTTGCAATACGATGAATTTAATAACACGTGGATCTGGATACAATTTTCTGGAGCCAAATTCACCAAACAGATTGGATAACACTTAAACTTATGTGCACTACTTTTAAAATTCAACTTCAGACAGTTTACTACCGCTAAATTCAAATACTACACGGACTATCAAAACTACATGTGTACCATTCAACAGTTACATTTAACTCACTCATTCGTACAACTCAAACAACCCTAAGTACTTACCATAACTAGATGATGCATTGTATATACATCAGTATCTCCATAATACACTCGAATTGTATGAACAGTAAATCCAAAACCCTTAGGTCCTCGGCGTATAATTATAGGCGGTTTCAATGTGGTTCCCAAAGGAGAAAGCTCACGACATGGAGAAGTATCTCTGGAACTTGCTGTACTGGAACTTCCTCCAGCTCCTGGTGAATGTATTAAATGGGTGGTTGTTGTTAAATCTTCTGAAAAAAAGAATAGTATATTTCTACTCGAATATCTATGATTTTGGTAGTTTCATTACCAGTTGGGATCATAAGTGACAATCCAGAAGTACTTGCACTTCGGACGACCGATCTAGAAGAATGTCCAATTAATCCAGCTTTTATTTGACTCAAGGACGGAAATTCTTTATTTTCTCCAGGTGAAGATATACAACAATGGTCATCTTCCACAGATATTGAAAACTTCGGTAAAAATTCTCTTGAATGTGCTGTCTTTTTTCTTCTATTGATTTGAGGGGACACGTCATCACTGTCAGTTTGCGATGATTCAGGAGTACTTATTGTACAAGATAAATCGAGTGACACCTATAAACAAAAGCAAACATGTGCTAGTCTTATAGAAGTAACTAAAAAATTTGGTTAAAAATGAGAGTTTATTAGAATCTCGCCCTACACGTAACGGTTATCAAACCATATGAAGATCATACGGTGAAAACTTAAAAAACATTAATAACAAAGTTTATTACTCACCATTTTATTCTCAGGTTTCCTCTTTTCGAATGTTCTTGAACGTAGCACTAAATTTTCAGTCATTTTTATTGTAGGTCTCGAATCTACAATCTCAGGAGTCCCAGGGACCGACAAATCAGAATTGCTCATTTTCAACGATGAGTAATTATTTTCGGGATCGGTATCAGTGCTCAAAGAACTTAGTTCTGATACTTTCTTATATTGGGGAGAACATGATGAAAATAAACCAAACACAGGAGAATCGTCGGTGTCATCCGTATCATCCTCTAGTTCGTGACAGTAACGGTCTATTCTGCCTAGAAAAAAAGTTCAACATAAATGTTATATCAGAATATGAAATATATGTCTACAAAAGTATCTATCTGTAGTGCGAAGCAACTGGTGAGAAAAACTGATCTTGTTCATTAATAGTGGGAAAAAAAATATAAAAATAATAATATTACTGTAAGTTCTCTTAAAATAACTGAGATGCTGAGAAGATTAGTATTGTCAACTGGAAAATTCAAGCAAGGAACAGAGCACAATGGCGCAGAAATCTTGAGAAGGCCTGTAAGGGCTGTAGTATTATTTGTCAAATATAGGAAAAGGTTTCAAAATCTTAGCCGTCGGCGCAGAGAACAGAGAGAGCGCGCATTCGGAGAATAAAAGAGGGAAGACATAAAGCTCGGTTTGGTGATAAGGTACAGTCTTCCTCAAAAATTATTTTATTTGAATTTATTAGAACATCTCGAGTCGGTAGGTAGGTATCATTAGGAAGGTAATGAATTTAATGGGTTTTTAAATGCCAAAATTTAAATACTAAGAAACATTTGGATATAATACAAATTATACAGTCGTAATATGGAGTCGTTAGCAAGAAATATTTTGTTGAATTTGACGTAATCTATTAATGTCTTTTTAATCTTAATCAAGTTATACAGGAAGGTAGGTATTATTTAAAAATACGTCAAACATTTTTTATTCATTAGCTTTTTTCCTTTATGGTTTACATTTTAAATGTGTTTACACTAAATAAGTAAACAATAATAATGAAATAAAACTATAAATAAAATAAATAATTTTATTACAAAATAAAAACAAGTAAACATAAAAGAAGATAATTATAACCAATAAATTTTAATAAATAATGTGAAAATATGACTACTGTTATTATTGTTTTAATGATAGATTTCAAAGCTAAAAAATTACAATGTTAGTTACAAATTTACTATAAAGCAATAATAATAAAAATACTACAGTAAAAACAGATACTTTAGCTGGATTTAATAGTAACCTCATGACTATGGTAGGTTTCGAGGATATTACAGTGGCATTTGATAATGTTAACCTAGATGTTTTAACGAACAAATTAATTTCAACTGGATATCTTAAACAATAATTAGCGAACTTTAAAACTAACTACTAGATGTACACAAACACGAAAATGCATTTAAAAATAATTTAAGTAACGACTCTGTAATGATTCTGTTTTAGTGCATTCAATGGATGCCTGTATTAAACTAGTAAAAGTATTATATTTACAGATTGCAAAAGTGTCGTAGATAGACTAAAAAATATAAGTGCGTCCAAGAACTTAAATCATCTAGAAGCCATCTAATTAATATATAATATATATATATATATATATATATATATATATATATATACATATATATTTTCCATATAAGTAGATTTTTATTTTCAGAAAATTAAATAATCTGGCAACGTCGTACGCAGTGAAAGCACTTCTGTGAATAAGAACTAGTTTGTGACCTACGGTATCTAAATTAAACCACGGTTAGTTTATTTACTATTAGTTCAAGGTTTTTCACACCTTAGGAAATGTACCTAAACACCTGCAAAATAATGATTTCTGGTTTTAAGAATGTGGCATTTGCTATTATCTGAATTAAGGTTTTGGTTAGGGCTCGAAGTTTAAAATAAATTATTATGTTTACTACTATGTAAGTAAGTACTATGGTTTAATTCCTAAAAAGTAATTAATGAAACTAAAGAAAAATTTGTAATGTTTTTCTGAATTGTATTGAAATGTGGCATAATTTTTAACGAATTGTGAAAATGTCATTTATTTACAATAAAAAACACTTTATCCTTTAACTGAACTAGTATTATGTATTTATTAAGCTTTAAAGTAATTTGTTTACTTATGAACTAAAATTAAATTGATACTTTTACTTACTTGACAATATTATTATAATAAATGTCCAAAGTGAGCTTCACCTGCGCGAACACATGCATTGATACGAAGAATCCAATTGTTAATTATGCCATAGTTAACTAAATTATGTCGGATAGTTTCTGCAGCATCAAAAATTCGTTGCCGTAATTCAGCATCTGTCTCGATTTCATCTTGGTTATCATAAACTAACGACTTGAGATGCCCCCAAAAATAAAAATCCATTACATTGTATTCAGGACTTCTTGGGGGCCACAGAATGGGTCCATTCCTACCAATTAAACGACGAGGATAAGTGGTATCGAGAAGATTTTTAACAGCTCTGGTAAAATGTGCTGGAGGTCCATCGTGAAGAAACCACATTTCACGACGTGTTTGCAAAGGCACGTCTTCAAGAAGTACCGGCAAAACATTTTGCAAGAAATTATAGTAGGCCTCTCCATTCAGTGTTCTGGGTAATTCATATGGTCCTATCAAACGATTGTTAATTATTCCAGTCCATAAATGTATGCTAAATTCTCGTTGAAAATTTGTCCTACGTATTAAATCAGGGTTCTCGTCACTCCATATGTGGCAATTATGAAAATTATACACACCATTTCTCGTGAAACATGCTTCATCCGCACATAATACTTTAGATGGAAATTCAGGTTCTCTGACGAGTTTATCTTGAAACCATCTACAAAATGTTAATCTTCGAGGAAGATCACCTGGGTGTAAATCTTGTATTCTCTGATAGTGGTATGGATGTAGAAGTTGTTCCCGAAGTGTTCTATGAACAACGTTCTTCGATATGCCAACCATTTTAGCCACGTCTCGTGTACTTACATTTAGATTATTTTCCACAGCATCTAAAATGTCGTCTTCTACATTTAATCGATGGATACTTCTTGTTCTTCCGCTATTTTTTTTCGGCACAACAGAACCCGTTTCTAACAATCTTTGAGAAACATTCACAAAAGTGCGAGCATTAGGAGCTCGCCTTTCGGGATACCGATGCACATAAATTTGGACAGCTAAATTACTGTTACACTGCGCTTCTCCATAAATTATCAACATATCGTGATACTCACGAATCGAAAACATTTTCGCGGTGACACTAAACAGCTAAACACGATTGTTCCAAACTATCTATCTGCACAGTTAATTTATTTAATCTGTTTATTAAAATTGTGACTGTCTACGTTTAGATTTTCGTACTGCACGTAGTTGCCGGATTTCTTTTTGCATACCAAAATGTATTTTCATTTTTTGGTCAAACGGTTGAATTTAGATAAAAAAATTTTGCTCTACATGGTGCCTTCTACCTATACCTTTAAGGAACGCACTATTTTCGGGGACACCCTGTATATAAAGAGTATAAAGCCTTAGAAATGGACAGAAAAGAAAATTTTAAAATTTCACGAAGATAGAGCTATAAGAAATAATAATTAGGAAGAGTAAAATGTTTACAGAGACTCAACTAATGAAAAATAACATCAGACTCAGAATTATCCTCACTGAAATCACTACTACTGTCTTCGTCAAGATTAATTATGATTTCATCAAAAACTAAAACAAGTTCTTTTTCCCTAAACAATTGTTCGAAACTTTTAGCGTGTTCACACCGTTTTTTCCGCTCTTCATTTGAAAATTTTTAAAAAAATTCATCGCAAAAACGATCCACAGAACTAAACTTAAAGTCAACGTTTTTATCTGCCACGTATTTCTTAAGAGCTGCCCATACTAATTCTATGGGGTTGAGATCTGGAGGATACGGAGGAAGCCGTAATACCGAATGACCACTATTACCCAGTATCCTGTCAATTTCATACACCTTAAATCTGGGTTTATGGATTTTTACAATGCTGTAAAGATCGACTTTTAACATATCTTCTGAAAAAGGCAGATTGCGTTGTCTTAGCCACTCTTTCATTACATTTTTTATTGAACTCATATTAGGACACTTTTCAACTTACACTTTGTGATAAGAAGCATTGTCAACAACCAGTACACTACGTGGAGGAAGATTGGGAATAAGCATTTCCTGAAGCCATTTTTTTTATAATTTTAGTAATTAATTTCACTGTGGTAGTTACCTGTTTTTGTGTTTGATTTAAATTCCAAATAAGCATTTTTCACAAAACCCGTTTTCACCACCTGCACGCACTATTATCAGTCTCTGACCTTTTGAAATAGGAGCACGTAATCCCTCATGGGAATTGTCGCTCCAACTTTTCGAGTGAGTATGGGAAGAATGAATGTAGGTTTCGTCCATGTATATGATAGGACGCTTCTCTTCATGGTATTTTTTAATATCTCGAAGAAAGTTACGTCTCAATTGTTGGATTTCCGGTTTTTCCATTAAAAGTTTTTATTGGTTTTTGTTTTTCTCCGACGAAACCCTATATCCCTCATTGCTTTTCTCAATGATTCACGCGAACCATTGTAGTTGTACTCAGTGGCAAATTTTCTATGTACTCGTCGTAAAGTTGGAACTTGTTTTTACTTGTAGTACAAAAATTAATAATAAATCGACAAACCCCCCATTGTCGCACTCATCCATTTTAGATTTTAAAGCCGACTTATTTATTTTTTTATTTGGAGTACTAAATGCTGATGCAGCACCATCTTCCTTCGAAATGGCTTGTATGGCGGATAAACCTACACCTGTTGCTCTTACAACACGTTTTTGCACTTGTTTTAAGTCTATTAGAGGTACGTTGTCCCTTGTTTCTTGTTGCATAAAATGCATAACATTTGCTACAATTTCTCGGCTTTGACCGGACAAAACTTTTCGATTTAATTTTGATTTAAATTCCATTTTACGTCCCACGTAAAACTCACTGGGACTCACTGTTCTTTAAGAAAACTCTGCAGACTGTACCGACCGAACTTTACACGTTGAATTGTTGACTTCGATTGGTATATTTCCGATAAATTTAGTGCGCATTAGGTGGGCGTAGCTATAGATGATAATGATTTTTATAATTCACGCAACGAGGTACCCCAACTTAAAAAAAAAAATCCATATTCGTTCATTAGAACCGAAGATATTGCTACTTCCAAATTTGAAGTTACGAATTCAGTTTTTGAAATAGTAAAATCGAGAACGTGCAAAATCGCTTCGCTTTTAAACCC